AGGTCTCTGATCAGGTGGTGTCCCATGGGGACTGGCACGTAGCCCATTCCTGGTGGGAGAGCACATGGCTTTGCATATGTGGGGTCCTGGGCTCTATGCCTAGCACCACAGAAAATAGTTACCTTATCACCGAGGCCCTTCCCGGCCACCTCAGTGTCCCCATGCTCCCACATCCTCCCCTGCCTTATTCCTCTTGTTCACCTATCACCTCTGACCATTTATCCACATCCTTTTACCCGTTCCTTCTTTTCTCTCTGTATAGGAAGCAAGCTTCCTCAGGATAGAGACCAGGCTTTGTTACTTGTGTGTTCTGAGATGCTTGTGACAGACTAGCGTTTGCTGAGTGACTATAGTAAGCCTGTCTCTTGTATGAACTCTGATCATTCTTTTCTTGAACAGTTTTATAGAGGTGAAAGTGACATACCACACAGTTCACCCACTTGAAGATACAATTAGGTGGACTTTAGAATATTCACGTACTGCCATACCACCACAATTTTAAGACATTTGTCACCTCAAAAAGACCCTCCCTTTAGCTCTCACCCCTCATCCTCTCTCCCCTCCTAGCCCTAAGTTGCTTTCTGTATTTGATTCCTTTTATGGTATGTGGGCTCTGTCTAGTGTCTTTCACTTGGCATGTTTTCAAGGGCTTCCAGGTTATAGCATTTATCAGTACTTCACTCCTGTTCTAATCAGCAATCCATTGTGTGGATTTCCTCTAGAGCTCACATACACCTGCTTTTTTTGGGGGTGGGGGGCAGTGCTGGGATTGAATCCTGACCTCATATGTGCTAGGCAAGCTCTCTATCACTAAGCTACATGCCTTGACTCTGGATTCTGAGTTCACTCTTAAAATGGACCTAAGAGGCCGGGTGTGGTGGTGCATGCCTGTGAACATAGCTACACAAGCGGAGGCTTGCCCCAGCAACAATGTGAGACCCTGTCTGAAAACTAAAGGAAAAAGGACAGGAGGCGTGGCTCAAGTGGAGGAATGCCTGTCTAGCGGCATTAGGAACTGAATTCAATCTGCAATACCACCGAGAACAAAAAATAAGCCCAAGAACCATTACTTTGATGAGGAAGATGAGGTGGTAAGACATTGAGTAACTTGTTCAGGTCACAGAGCTTGGAAGTGGCCGAGCTGCTCAGGAACTCCTAACTGCAACCTGGGTGGCTCCCCTGTTCCCTTCCGCATGGCTTATAGCAACTCTTCACCCTTGCCTCCCACTTAACTGGGGTGGTGTTTGTGAAGGGGTCTCTTAAAAGTTCAGTGACTATCAGCACAGGGCACGGAATTAATGTTGACTGTGTTCCTGGAAGTGTTAGGAGCACTGGATTAGCTTCTAACGGCCCAGGAGAACTGGACTTCAGAAATAACTCCTCCCATAAGTCCTGGTGGCTTCTGAAATTCATGATGGCTATCTTGCTGGAACTGCGAGAGGATGCTAAGCAGAGTCCTTCCACGATGGCCTTTTTCTTTGGTGTGATGTAAGAACATTTCATGGGCTGGAGGCATGGCTCAAGTAGTACAGTGCCTGCTTAGCAGGTACAAAGCCCTGAGTTCAAACTCCAGTACCAATACCAAAACTGAACCAAACCAAAACATTTTATTTGAAATGATTACAGATCTACACAAAAGACAAAAAGAGTCATTTACTTTTCACCCAGATTTACCAGTTGACATTGTACCATATTAGCCTTCTCTTTCTCCCTCCCTCCCTCCCTGTCTCCCTCCCACTATCCCTTCCTCTCTCTATCCCTCCCTCCCTCCCTCCATCCATTCCTCCCTCCCTCCATCCATACTTCCCACCATCCTTTCCTCTGTCCCTCCCTCCACCCATCCCTCCTTCCCTCCATCCCTTCCTCTGTCCATCCACCCGTCCATCCATCCATCCATCTATTCATCCATCCGTCCTTCCCTCCATCCATGCACATATATGTACTGGGAAACTAATATTTTCCTGAATCATTAGAGAGAAAGGTGCAAGTGTCATGTTTCCTTGCTCCAAAATGCTTCAGCATGTACTTCCAAAAACTAGGGTACTTGGTCTCATGACCATAGTGGTCATCAACATTGTCATTATTATAGTACTACTCTTGAATCCTTAAACCCTTTTCAAATTGTTTGAGTAATGTTCTTTATAGCAAAAGACAAAGCAAACAACATATTCTCCTTTGCAGCCTTTCTTTGTGTCCACTATAGTGTCCGGGGCCAGGCGCTGGCCTCCCACGCCAGTTTTTGATGAATATGACATTTGTGAAGAGCACAGCCCTCAATTCCTACTTGCAGAATGCCACCTATTTGGGGTTTGTCTACTGTTCTGTCATTAGATTTAGCTAGGGCACATTTGACAGGAAGATCATGCTGTTCTCAGTGTAGAACATTGTGATATTAAAATGGCACAATGTCATTTTAACCCACACCTGCCAAGGTTGACTAAGGTGATTGTTATTGGCCTGTTGTTATTGTTGCCGTTGTGGCGTATATCTGTGATCCCCGCCCCTGGGAGGCTAATGCAGGAAGATGGTGAGTTCCAGGACCATCTGGGCCACATGGTTAAGATATTGTCTCAGAAAACAAAACAGCAACAAAAGATACTACCTGTTAAATTTCTCCACTGTCAAGTTCATCAGTATTTATTTTTTAAAAGCTAAGCATTTTGTCTGGGGTACTTTGAACTAATTGCTTTACATATCTTGTTCCTTCTGACTCACTCGCCCACTGGTCTCAGCATGCATTTATGCTACCCTGAAAGTGGCATTGTCCTTTTGTCATTCACTTATGCCACTCAGCACAATGCTTTGAAGTTCCTCCTTCATCAAGGATGTGTGGGCTGCTCCACCTTTCAGCTTTTGCGAATAATGCTGCTGTACATACGGGTGCACAAATGCATTTTGAACTCCTCTTCTTGATGATTTTGGGTGTATACTCAGAATTAGAATTTCTGGACCATATGGTAATTCCACGTTTAAGCTTTTTTTGTGTGTGTGTGGTTTTTTTTTTTTTTGCGGTACTGGGGGTTTGAACTCAGGGCCTTCACCTTGAGTCAGTCCACCCGCCCTTTCTTTTGGTGATGGGGTCTTTTCGAGATAGGGTCTTGCAAACTATTTAACTATTTGCCTGGGATGGCTTGGAACCGAGATCCTTCTGATCTCTGCTTCCTGAGTAGCTAGGATTATAGACTTGAGCCACTGGTGTAGGGCTCCATATTTAAGTTTTTGAGGCAACTTGCTTAGCTTAAAAAATAATATTTACGTGAACTCTGAGTTTCCTGTTTTATTCATTAATTATCTAACCTGCTAATGTCATTGTTTATTTTGAGGTACAAATTGTCCCTACTTTGGTCAATAGGAGGCCTTCAAGTTGGCTATGCTTTTTTTTTTTTTGGTGAGTGGTACTGGGGTACCACTCAGGAACCCTGTGCTTGCTAGGCAGTTGCTCTGTCACTTGAGCCACCACCCCCACCCTTTTATCTCTGGTTATTTATTAGATAGGGTCTTGCCTTATACCTGGACTGGCCTTGACCACAATCCTCCTACCTCCGTTTCCCCAAGTACTGGGATAACAGGCATGTACCACCATGCCCAGCTAGTGGTTGAGATGGGGTGTTGTGAACTTTTTGCAGGGCTGGGCTCAAACCATGGTCTTCCCAATTCCCACCTCCCAAGTAGCTAGGATTACAGGTGTAAGCTACCATGCCCAGTTGGCTTCTGTATCTTTTTGACGTGTGGTCATTGGAATACATTGTCACTGTGGCACAATAAGGTGTTCTAAATTCAACTTCTTACTTTCACTGCCCCAGGACTCCAAGCAGCCATTTCTCCAAGAGGCCCAGTTCCTTTTGTAAGAAACTAAGATTAGCTGAGCAGGGTGTCATTGCTTCCAACCTTTGCAGAAAAGAGAGCTTGTGTGTGTGTGTGTGTGTGTGTGTGTGTGTGTACACACCAGTGACCACACACCAATGAACACACACACCACAACCAGAGGTATGTGTTCTGTTTCTTTTCTTGTTTTGTGGGACTGGGGATCCAGCCTGGGGCCTCGTGAACCCTGGAGTACTAAGCCAAGCCGCTGCCCAGCCGCACTTCCATCTTCTTTGTTTCCATGTGTGTAAGACACAGATGTGACTGATGTTTCTAAGTGCAGGTCACACCCCTGCGCTCACCTGGCTTATCCGTCTCCATGTTTGTGTCTTCCTCTCCAACAGCTCCTGTTATCCTCAGTATGTTTACTTGTTTGTTTGCAAACTATTTGTGGGATTTATTTTTTTATGTGGTATTGAGGTTTGAACTCAGAGACCTTACTTTTAACTTGCACTACTTGAGCCACAACGCCAACCCTGTTTACTTATTTGTTAAGTAGTTTATTTATTTATTTGCCTAATTTCCTTTTTTTTTTTGGCAGTTCTGGGGTTTAAACTCAGGGCCTTGCACTTACTAGGGACACACTCTACCAATTGAGCCATGCCACTAGGCCTGTCAGCTTTAGTTAATTTTTTTTCCCAGAGTTGGCCTTAGACTGCCATCTTCCTACCTATGGTTCCTGTGTAGCTATGGAACCGTCTAGCTGGCATGACCCACCATGTCTGACTTAATTGAGATGGGGTCTTGTGAACTTTTTGTCCTGGTTGGCCTTTAACCATGATCCCCCTCCAGCTACCTTCCAAATAGCTGGGATTGTAGGCATGCACCAGTGTGCCCGGCTTGCCCAGTTTCATTCTATGTGTACCATTTCCTGATTGTGTAGACTGTCTTTTTAGGCTGGTCCCACCAGTGTGCTGCCTTAATATCCTCAGCTCCACTGCCTATCCCAGCAGGATCTGAGGCCCCTCCACAGGCAAAGGCAGGGAGGGCTCAGCATCGAGGGAGCAGAGCGGGAGGGACAGAGAAAGCCTCGCTTTGCGTTTATCCTTTCTCTACCTGCAGTCTGGGCAGCTCAGGCTGGGCTGGAAAGCAGAAGGCGCTGTGATTCTCATCACTCTTTCTCTTTCCTGCTCCAGATGGTTTCACCCCAATATCACTGGCGTGGAGGCAGAGAACCTGCTGCTGACAAGGGGAGTTGATGGCAGCTTTTTGGCAAGGCCCAGCAAAAGTAACCCTGGAGACTTCACGCTCTCTGTTAGGTAAGTTGGAGGGAGTGTGTTTTCTGGCCTGGGAAGGCTCAGACCATACTTGCCACCTGCCACCTTTGCAGGGAGCTGGAAGGCCCACCTACCACTCTGTGGAGGGGGCTTGGGGACACTGGCCTGCCTGTGGGGCACTACATGGCCTCCCAGACCAAAAGGTTGACATGATATGCCTTCTTTCTGCTTAGGAGAGACAGCAGGGAGAGCTGGCAGAAGCCCCTGTACTCAGTCCTGGATCCATGCTTTTGAACCTGGGTCCTGGGCTTTTCCTTCGTGCCTTCTTCCTCCATCTCTCCCTAGTGGAGCCATGGTCCAGAGGCTGGCATAGATTGCTCCTGATTATGTTCACATGGTCGCCTGCGCTGATACTGCATGTGAACAACCTGAAGGTGGCTGTGTGTTCTCAAAGTTCTTAGATGTGGTGCTGTGGTGTACAGACCCTATTGCAAGTTTTAAAACTGAGTTCCGTGCAGGAACATACAGATCTAACTACTCATGTTAAAGACTATTTAATTGTCAATCAGCATGGGCACAGCAGTTTATCCTTCTAGTGACGGACACTGAGCTGTTTCAGTTTAAATTTCTGTAGACAGGGTAACACGCATCCAGCTTTGCACATCTCTTTGAGCAGGAGTGGAGGGTTTTTCTTATTCTCCTTATACTAGACTTGAGCTACTTTATGGATTTGCTTTTTTTTAATCTTGTGGTACTGGGATTTGAACTCAGGGCCTCACACTTGCTAGGCAGGTGCTCTGCCACTTGAGCCACTCAGCCACCCTATGTGTCCTTATTTTCAGACTTAAACATTTTTTGGCAGGCACACTATGTAGATGAGGCTGGGTCCAGGCAATTATTTCATATCCGAAGGCATGCCATGTGTGTTTGCCTTATCTTTTTTTTTTTTTATGTTTTTTTACATTTTTTTAATATAAATTTTTTATTAGGATATATATATTCATTATACAGGGGGATTTGTGGTGATAATTCCGATTAGACTTATATTGTACATTAGTTACATTGCCCTCATCGTCTTCTCCTCATCCCCCTTCCCGCCCCATTTAAAGCAATTGCAAGAGGTTTCTAGTTCTGTTTCCTATAGGTAAATGAAGTCCATTTACCGTATTCCCTCACCTTCATCTCCTTCCTTCACTCCCCCTGCCCCTACACACACTGTGCCTGTTTTTCAGTGCACCTCATCTTTTGGTGACATTTAGTTGAATCCCTCAGTAAAGGTGCTGCCAGGTTTCTCCTTGTGTAACAAAGGTCCCGTGAGGGGACTGTCTGCGCTGTGCCCCCTCTGTTCTTTGGCATGTTTTCATGCAGGGTTTCAGTGATTGTAGACGAATGTCATCCTGGTTACTTGTTCTGTTGGCGATTGAAAACTTGCTCTTTTTCTAGTTGCTATTTCTACACTTGTTCATTTTCGTCTGCATTTGCTGGTTGGCATTCTGTGAGGAGTGCTCCAGCCATCTCTATTCCCCAACTCCAGCTTTTCTTGCCATGCTGGTTATCATTGTGTTTCTTTCCGTAGAATAAACAAGTGTAGTTTTTTCTTACTTGTTGTCTCTTCCCCCAGCATGGTATTAATTGAATTTACTGCTTTAACCAACATGTAAAAACATATGCATTGTGCATATTAAGGGGATACCATGATATTTATTTCCTCTTTATTTTTACACTGGAAGTAAATCTATTTTTTTTTTCTGTTTTGTTTTTCTCACAGAAATTTTTTTTTTTTTTGGTGGCACTGGGGTTTGAACCCATGCCTTTGCACTTGCAAAGCAGGTGCTCTACTGCTTAAGCCACTTCTCCTGTCCTTTCATCTTTTTAATCAGTGGCAACACACACTGTCCTGTGACTATTTCATTCTTGTGCAATCTTTGACAGAGACTGGTTTGGGTATCTCCAGAATTTGATGATATGTATTTGTGAAAATACGTAATGAGCTTGTGCAAGTGTTGCTCTGTGCTTTTGGAAATCTGCCTTCAGGGTGGCCTTGTGGGCACAGCAAGGTGATTAAGGCAGAGTGTGGGCGTGCAGTGGTTTTCCCCATCTCCCTCTGTGGTGTTGGACCACTGTGCTTTCCCACCAGCGTGGACAGAGGTGTCCACTTTCACAGCTTGACCAGTTGACTTGTCAAGACTTTGTATTTGCCATCCAGGTGAGAACTGGCCTTAGAGAATTTGAGTTTTTAGTTATGTCCAAAGCTTCACATCTTTGCAGTTTCAGAGTCAATTGTGGATCTTTTTGTGAGCTGACCTAGAACTTTTTTTTTTTTGGTGGTGGTGGTGTTGAGGTCAAATCAAGGACCTTGCTCATGTCAGGCCAGTCAATGCTCTGCCCCGAGTTGCCACCTGGCCCAGAACGGGTGCTTTTAACAACCCATAAGCTGCTTCCACGTTGTGTTTCTGTAACAGTTCAGCTTGACGTTTCCCTTAGTGAAAATGCTTGGGACCAGAAGTGTTTCATGTTTCATATATTTTTCAGATTTTGAAATATTTGCACATGGGTAATGAGATATTTCATGAATGGGACCAAAGTCCAAATTCACTTATGTTTCATGTTCACCTTCTGCACGTTGGCTACCATTCTGGGGTTACTAGATCTCTTTGGCCTGGAAGAGTGGCAGTGGGTGTTAGTGATATAGTTAGTAGTTCGGGGACCCAGGTAGCAATCGTAGCCAGACTGCCCTGGTTAACTGAAACACCAGGTTTTAGAGACTTGGCCAGTGTCGTATCAACTTGGGAAATAACAGATTAGCCTGTCACTCTGGAAACTGTCAATTCTCTGAGTCTTTGAAGTGATTTTTTACTGTTGCTGGGGATTGAACTGAAAGCCTCCTTCATGTTAAGGATGTGCTCTTCCACTGCACTATAGCCCAGCCCTTATGTGCTTTCTTAGATAGAATTATATCTAGTATCTTAAGTGTGCACTGAGGTGAGTTTTGACAAATCTACTTACTTGTGCAACCAGTATCCCAATCACCCTTCAAAGCCCTTTTCCCCATAGGAGGCAGGTACTGTCCTCATTGCTACACCTATAGACTCTTGTTTCATGTAAGTGAAGTAGTATAGTACGTAGTTCTTTGTATCTGGCATTGGTAACCCCTGCTTCTGCCAGGGATGGAACCCAGGGCCTGATGCACACTGTGTGGCATTTGCTGCTATTTGTTCATGCCTTTTTTTTTTTGGCAGTACTGGGGTTTGAACTCAGGGCTTCGCACTTGCTAGGGAGGTGTTCTACCTCTTGAGCCATACCTCCTTTCCTATTCATGCATTTTTGTGATACTTTTTTTGTTTTATTTTGGGTTTTTTTGTTTTTGAGACAGGGTCTGGCTATGTAGCAGAAGCTGCCCTGGAACTCACTATGTAGCCTACATTGAGCCTGCCTCAGTCTCCCAAGTACCGGGATGACAAGTGTGTTCCACTGTGCTCATTGGTTGAGATAAATCCCACAAACTTTTTGCTCAGGCTGGCCTCCAACCATGATTTCAGCCTTTCATACTATCATGTCTTTTTGGCAAAATACTTAGTAATGGATATGTTGAATTATAATGTAGATATGTATTTAGTTTAAACTTTAATTATGTATGCATCCTTGATTAATGATGAAAATTATTGTTGCCTAGTATATACAATTAAGTAGATCAGTCCTTCCAGCTAGAAGATGTACAGGGTGCAGAATCACAGCACTTTGGTTGAGAAGGTTTGCTGTGGGTTGTTTTACTCCGATTGTGTTTGTTGCAGAGATGGGGTAAATTTGTTCTTGGGTTTGTTTCAGTGTTTAGGTGATGTCTGATACCGAACATGAGATCTGTTTTTACTAGTATGGCTCTATTTTTAAAATTAATTTATTTTTTCTTCCCTCCCCTTTCTAATGGACTATTTTAGAAGAAATGGAGCTGTCACCCACATCAAGATTCAGAACACTGGGGACTACTATGACCTGTATGGGGGAGAAAAGTTTGCCACATTGGCTGAGTTGGTCCAGTATTACATGGAGCACCACGGGCAACTAAAAGAGAAGAACGGAGATGTTATTGAGCTCAAGTATCCACTGAACTGTGCAGACCCTACCTCTGAAAGGTCAGCGACATCCGGTGACTGCACAGGGCAGTCTTCAGCTGTCCTGTGCCACAGGTGTTATGCAGCTGCATTGTGGGCTGTATAGGATCTGAATGATGCCAAAGGATGGCATCTGTTTCTCAGGCTGTAAGCTTGAAAGCATTATTAAAGTAATAATAATAGGATCAAATGATTCCCAGAGGGCCCTTTTCTTGCAAAGGCCACAGTCAGTGTTACAGTCACTCTGTAGGGGTCTTGTTCTATGTGTTATATAGTGTAGACTCTGTGGTATATGTACTAGACTTGGAGTTTGTATGGCCTATGCTATTATACTATGTAGCCGTGACTGTATATAGTCAGTAATTTTAGGATTTATCGAACTTCAGTTGATAGCCTTGGAGAGTTATTCGAGGAAAACAGATAAGCATGATGCCAAAATAGCAGCAGTTCTCATGGCAGCTCTCGGCCAGTTGTTCAGCAGTGCCACCAACAGATGTCAGGTTAAGCCCAGAAGTGGGAAGGCACAGGCCGCAGAGGACCAGCTTTCTCTCCTGTTCTTTCAGTGGTATGTTCACAAATATGTGAGCTTGACCTTGCTTACAGAGAATTTCATTGTATTCGAAAGCTTTCCTTTCCTGCTGGAACCCAGCAGATGAAGGCTAGGGTTTGATTTACTGGTTTTCACATCCCTGCCCTTCTTTGTGGTTCAGTACAGATTCTGGGTCTGGTGATTAAGTCTGTATATCCTGTATCTTCAGGTGTGTTTCCAGCTTGCACCTTTATGACAGTGCCATTAAGTGCTGGTAATTTGTTCTGCAGCTACTCCTGTAGCTCCAAACAAAAGTCGATTCTGTGCGTTTCTTTTCTACATTGGCTCTTCCGTTGAGTGAGGATGAAAAAGAACTCCGTTCCTTTGGTGACCAGGCATTAGCATTGCTGCTGTCATGTGCTTGCTTTCTTACCAAGGTCAGGGAAAAAGCCACATCGTTAGTGTGGCTATGCTAAGGTGGTTTTTTTTTTCGTAATACCTAGAGCAATTGTCCCAAAGTCTGTCCTTGGATGACCTTGGTGGCCTATATCAGGGCTCTGGCAAGCTAGTTAATATGAAATGCCTGGGCCACATTCAGACTTCAATGTGTTGCTATCTCTGCTTGTGGGGCATAGGAACTCACCCACTCCAAGTCTTACATGTATAAAAGTTTGACATGATAACTTAGTATATAGTCCAAGGACACTGACAGCAAACTTGGAGGATGTTGAAATATAGGTTGGGAAGGTGGAAAAATTTGGAATGCTTGAATTGATTTGTAATGAGATCCTTTTTTTGATCTACTGCCAAAACAAGATCAAGTACTTACCATGATTTGCTGTCTCCATCATGCTTTTCATTATGTCATCTTTAAATGTCTATGATTAAATAGTTGGCCCTTTTAGGGTCAAATTGCTTTTTTTTTTGAATTTTGGCGGTGCTGGGGTTTGAACTCAGCCTCGCGCTTGTTAGAGTGGCACTCTACCACTTGAGCTACATCTTTAGCCCGCAATTGCGTTTTTTAAAAGATGGGAGTTAAAGTAGGAAAGATTGAAGATATTCTTTCCTAATGACTGTGGGCTCACTTAAGAAGTTTAGTGGTGGTGGGGCCTGGTGGAGCACACCTGTAATCCCAGTACTCCAGAGGCAGAAGCAGGAGGATCTCAAATTCACAGCCCACTTGGGCTAAATAGTAAGACCCTTCTCAGCCACTCCCCCCCACCACCAAAAAGAAAAAGAAAAATGTTTTTTTAACAACTTTGTCATTTTTCCTACATGCTTGGAATGCAGATTCTGTCTTGTTGTACTATGAATTTCTTGGAGGAATGTGTCCATTTTTAAATTTGTTTATAATTGTCTTTATAATTGTATGGTTTATTATAGCGTATAATATTCATATGGTAGCTTTGTGAAAGCATATCGTGAACCCAGAGTTGAACTCAATTCATTCTCACTTAAAAAAATTTAGGTGGTTCCATGGTCACCTGTCTGGAAAAGAAGCAGAGAAATTACTAACCGAGAAGGGAAAACATGGTAGCTTTCTTGTACGAGAGAGCCAGAGCCACCCTGGAGATTTTGTTCTCTCTGTCCGCACTGGTGATGACAAAGGGGAGAGCAGCGATGGCAAGTCTAAAGTGACTCATGTCATGATTCGCTGTCAGGTAAAGCTCCAGGTGAATGACAGGTCTGGTGACTTGTCTGTGGGGGTTCTGCTGGGAGATGGCAGGTGCCATTAGACCCAAAGTCAGGTTTTCTTTGCTCCTTCTGCCATGGCCTTTGACTCCTTTACTTTGTTTTTTATTGTCACTGTCTAATCACTTTAAACTCGATTACATTTTTTATTTTCACTTTATCTGCAGATTAACTCATGCCTCAGTGTATTGCTCCCTGCCCTGCAGGATCTAATCTGTTTTTGGTGACTGCAGCTGCATTGGCCTCCAAGACTCAGCTTCCAAAGAGATGGCCTCAGCTCCTCCTGAGGACCGATGCTTGGCTAGACTCTACCTATCGTGTCTGTGGCCTCTGTGAATTCCACCAATCGGAGGTCCCAAGAGTTTAGGAAAAGAGTTATGTCTGTACTGAGTTAACATGTACTGAGCCTTTTCTTGTCATTGTTCCCTAAACAATGCAGTATAACAAGTATGTTATGTTGAGTTAGCCATCTAGAGACGGTCTGCCGTGTACAGGGGGTATGCAGGTGCTCGCAGGTGCTACGCCAGCCATTTCTTTTCACTTACTTCTTCTGCTGTGGTGGAATCCAGGGCCTTGCCTAGCATATGCTCTTCCACCGGCTTTGTGCCCAGCCCCCACTTTGTTGTGTTTTGAGTCTCCTCAAAACATTCACTTTTCCCTACCACAGCTCTTTGATCTTCCCATTTCTGGAATTCTATTGGGAAAACAGTTATTTTACTTTTGTTTCGAGATGGAGTCTTGCTGCATAGCCCAGGCTGACCTTGAGACCTTCCTGTCTCAGCCTCCCGAGACTTGGGATTACAGGCTGATGACTGTCTCTGTCATCTCACATAATTGCCTTTGTTTTTAAATAGTGAAAACATTTGAGACCTACTCTTTCCATTTCAAGTATACAAGACAGTGTTAACTGGTGTCACTGTGCTGCAGAATGTATTCACGACAGTGAAAGTTTGTACCCTTTGACCAGTATCTCCCCTTTTCCCTACCCCCAAGTCCCTGAAAACCACCAGGCTACTCTGGTACTGTGAGTGAACATTTCTCTAGATTCCACACAGAAGCGTGGAAGTGTTTGTCTTTCTGTGCTTGGCTTATTTTACTTAACATAATGTCCTCCAGGCTCATCTGGAGTGTTGCAAGTGACTGCATTTCCTTTTCTCTTAAGGCTAAGTAATGCTGTATTTTCATATTCTTTAGTTGGGCTGGGTTGTTTCCATACCCTGATGGGTGTAAATGGTGCCTAAGTGGCCATGGGCGTGAGGGGAAAACACTGGTTTGACAAGAAGATAATAAGCACCATCTTTTTGTCTTGAAAGGAACTGAAATACGACGTTGGTGGAGGAGAGAGGTTTGATTCCTTGACGGACCTGGTGGAGCATTACAAGAAGAATCCTATGGTGGAAACATTGGGCACAGTGCTACAACTCAAGCAGGTTGGAAAACGAGAGCCCCTGTCCTTCACTGGGTTTTCAAAATGTGAATAGAGAATTTCTACTCATGCTCTCCTCCGTGGCTTCCTCCTTTAGTGTTGGGAAACAGATTCTAGATGTCACATCATTTCCATATGTATCTGTAAAAGGCCTTCTAGAGTTTTTTGGGGGCTGGGGGAGCTGGGGATTGAACCCAGGTCTTGTCCATACTCAACACGCCCTGTACAAGTGAGCAGCTGAGTTACACCTGCAGCCCACTTCTAGAGGTGGCTTTTTTTTTTTGGTGGCACCGGGATTTAAACTGAGGGCCTCATGCTTGCTAGCCAGTTGGTCTACTAGTTGAGCCTCTCTGCCAGCCCCCCGTTTTGTTTTGCTTTTGATGCTGGGGATGGAACACAGGGTCTTGCATGTGCTAGGCAAGCCTGTGGTTTTCTGAGACAGGATTACCTTGAACTCTGTCCTCCTGCCTCAGCCTCCCAAGTGCTGGGATTATAGAAGTGTACCACCACGCCTGGCCAGAGGTGGTTTTTTTTTTTTCTTTTTTTTGGATAGTGGGGTTTGAACTCAGGGTCTGCAACCTTGGTTTTTTTTTGAGATAGGGTCTCATAAATTGTTTGCCCGGGCTGGCTTCGAAATGCAATTCTCCCGATCTCTGCCTCCTGAGTAACTAGGATTATAGGCGTGAGTCACTGGGCCTGGCAATGGGCAGAGTTTTTAAAGCAGATTTTTGCCAGATTTTCATCATAGGTCCACTCTTGGTTACCTTCAGGTGATCACATTTATTACTTTGGATTTCAAAATTCACCTCTTTGACAATGGTATCATCTTTAAATCATGATGTGTGGTCTATTCACAAAGAAACAAAGTATTTATGGAGGTTCCTGATACAGTTCCTGATAGGACAGCAAAGAGAGTGAAGCTGTTTTGAGAGTCGTTGCTGTGAATTACTGTGTGGTGTGAAGTCTGTCTTTGCCTTTGTGATACTAGCATAGAGGCCTTTTTGTCTTTGCATCAGTGCCTTTCTGAAACTTACCTTCTTCCTTTTCCACCACCTGTTGCGCTCGGTCAGCCCCTCAACACAACCCGGATCAATGCTGCTGAGATAGAGAGCCGGGTTCGAGAGCTGAGCAAATTGGCTGAGACCACAGATAAAGTCAAGCAAGGCTTTTGGGAGGAATTCGAGGTAAGTGGTCAAGCAAGTGTTTGTCCCTGAGTTATTCAGTCCCATTTTCATGGAAGAGAAGCTGGCCTTAGGTTTGGAATTGGTTCTGAACACCTGAATCTGACATCCTTTTTTAGCTCAGCCACTGACTAATGTGGAATAAGTTGCTGAGGGGGCGTCTTTGAAATAGAAGGGCATTGTGTTCTCAGAGAAGGCAGCTGGCAGCTCTACCAAACCGAGGAGCCAACAGTTCCATTTGGCTCTTTTGGTTTGGACCGCTGGCAAAACCCCAGAAAAACAAAAGGATCGGATTCCTTTGGAAGATTTCCAGCATTCACTGGGGTCTTTAGAAAGACCCTGTGGTCTCATTACCATGAGTGGCCCAAGAGAAATACAGCACATTTGCTTTAATCTGGGAGTTCAAGTTGGTAACTTTGGGAAATTAAGTGGACTGATTCCTTTCCCAAGATTTATGTAGGTAGGAGAATGTCTCTGGTGAAAATGTCCAGGTTTTTTCTTGTACTCTTTCTTGTCACTTACCTGTTGAGTTTATAATCTCCTTCTCTCCTCATCTGTGACAGAAAACGTCTTCACCAAGAGGATTTTGTCATACTTACTTCTCTAGTCATCCCCAGTGTACTTGGCTCACAGCAGAAACCCTTTAAACGTTTGTTGAGTGAGTGTTTATATTTAGCAAATGTTTTTTCCTTTTATTACTGCTGTCCTGTTTTATAGGAATGATTATTCCATACTTTTTGTAGGACTTTAGAATTTACAGATGTTTGTGGGATGAATGAAGAATAGCTGAAGTACTTCCAGCCACAGTGTACATACTACAACAGCTTGGTGAGGTGGAGATGGTTTCCACTATAGAGAAGAGAAGCCTGAGGCTCAGAGGGGCACCTTGGAGATGGCTGCAGACTAGAACATTGTCAGTGCATGCTCAACATTACTGGACGGGGGCTGGAATTCTGGTTTATGCTCTCCTACCAGGCACTGGGGTAGGCACAGGGATCACCAGGGGAGCAAGAATAACAGCGCTTCTGCCTTTCAAGAGCTTCTTTCTAGTTGAGAGAGGACAGTGGGAAATTCATCAGTGAGAAAATGACAGGCAGAACATCACAATTTTCATTTTTAGATTTATTTTTATTTTTATATTTTGGTGCCAGGGATCAAACCCAGGGCTTTGTGCAAGCTAAGCACATGCTTTGCCACTTGAGCCATACCCTAACCCTTTTTACTTTGCTTATTTTTGAGGTAAGGTCTCACTTTTTTTTTTTGAGATACTGGGGCTTGAACTCAGGGCCTTCACCTTGAGCTACTCCATTAGTCTCTTTTTGTGTTAGGTTTTTTTGAGATACGGTCTCACGAACTCTTTGCCCAGGCTGGCTTTGAACCACAAACCTCCTGATCTCTGCCTCCTGAGTAGCTAGGATTACAGGGTGAGCCACAGGCACCCAGCTAGGCTGGTACGTACTGCGATCCTACTATTTACCCTTCTCTTCCAGCCCCAGGTCACTGCTGTGTAAGTAGCCGTGCAGTTGCTTACTTGCTTTATGCCACATCGTGTGCACAGCAATCTCTGAACAAAGACTTCACAATAAGAAGATTGCTGGAACAGTTGAATGTCGATGTGTGTGTGTGGTGCTGGGATGGAACCCAGGGCCTCGCACATGGGAGGCAATGTATTCAACTGCAGACCCAACCCTCCCGCTAAAAAATCCTTCAGAAATATGTAGTTAAGTCACTACTCAGTCGGCCTCTACACTCATTGCATACGTGATCAGCTTGTTGGTTTCATTTCATGTTTATCTTTGAGAAATTTCTTTCAAAAAATGTGAAATTTATTTTAAATTTCCAAAAAAATTCAAAAAAAGTTCAAAAAAGGTGCTGAAAGAAATTAACCTTCTATCTTTGTCCTTTTCTTCTTATATTTTATGGTTTGAAAAAGACTAGTCTTTTTGAAAGCAAATATGTATATATTTCCATATTCCTACTTTTTTGAGATAAACAGTAGTTTAATTTTGCATACATTTTTCTAGCCTCTTTCCATTCTAGTATGTACAGATGGTTTTCACTTTTTTTTGCACTTGCAAAGCAGACACTCTACTGCTTGAGCCACACCTAGAAGTCCATTTTGCTCTGATAATTTTGGAGATGGGGGTCTTTTGAACTATTCACCTGGGCTTGTCTTGAAATGAGATCCTCCTGATCTCCGCTTCCAAGGAGCTAGGATTACAGGCATGAGCTACCACTGCTTGGATAGTCTTTATTTTTTTTAGCTGCATAGTATTCCATTGGTTGGTTATAGCTTATACAGCTTGTTGATGGGCATTTGAGTAGTTTCTAAATGTTTTGTGCAGAGGATTACAGTCTTTACATCTTTCCTGTTTTTGTTGGTCACTTTTGATGTTTGCATTTTACATGTTCCATCTTAAAAATAATGACGTACATATCCTTATCTTTTATTATAGATCATATATGATTTGGTTAGCATATGTAACACCTGAAAAATACTGTTTTTAATTAAAATTTTGGCTTGATACAAGACACAGTGAGCTATTTTGTAATCTAGACGTATTTTAATCTTACTCCTCCTTTAAAAATAATAGCAGACTAGGGGGATTATAGCTCATAAGTAGAACACTTGCAAAGCATGTGTGAGGACCTGGGTTCAATCCCTAGTACCACAAAAAAAAGTATTTAAAAAATGATAACTGAGCCAGGGACTGGGGTATAACACCTAGCTCCTTGGGAGGCTAAGGCAGGCAGATCACTTGACCCTAGGAGTTCCAGGCCAGCCTGGGCACCAAAGTGGGTATGGTTAGGCATGCCTGCAATCCCAGTACTTGGGAGGTGGAGATCAGGAGGATCATAGTTTGAGAGCAGTCTGGGCAAAAGGTTAAGCAGTTAAAAAATTAAGCTATGGATGCTGGTGGCTCATGCCTGTAATCCTAGCTACTCAGGAAGCAGAGATCAGGAGGATCAAGGTTCGAAGCCAGCCCTGGGCAAATAGTTTACAAGGACTGGTGGAGTGACTCAAGGTGTGGGCCCTGAGTTCAAACCCCAGTACTGCCCCCAAAAATTTAAACAATGAGGTGGATATCTTAAAAAATTACAGCCTTTTTTTTTTGAAGGTTATTTATTTTTGGCAGTAGTGGGCTTTGAACTCAGGGCTTCAGACTTGCTAGGCAGGTGTTCTACCATGTGAGCCACACCCTCAGTCCTACAGAATTTTTAAAAAATTAATTTTCTTTTCTTTTTGTGGTGCTGGGTATCGAACCCAGAGCTTCAAATGTGCTAGGTAAGCGAAGCCCTCCACCATTAAGCTACATCCTCAGCTGCAAAATTAAAGGAAAAGGAATTTCTAGGGTATCTTGTACTGTGGTGGGTTCTTCAGCACCAGGCCCCCTTCTAACAGCTTAGGGAAACAAAGGCCGGCCTCCCAAGGAGCCCATGCTTGTTTTCAGCCCCTTGGTGGCCTCTACATATGCTCCGATAGAACGCCTCATCTAGTCTTGTGGCTGTGGAAAAAGACAGTTGATTATAAATGCTGACCTGGTAGTTTCACTCTGACATGTCAGATTCAGCCCATCTTCTGTGCATCATTAATAACACAAAGGGGAAAAAGTGAGTTGGCTTTAGGGGGAATGGAAAATTATGAGCTCACATCTGTACACGTTCTCTGCAGAGGTCAGGCTGCAGCAGGACGGTGTTGCACAGTCCAGGCCCTGAAGCTTTATCTAAGTGGCTGACAGCCTGCTTTCTACATCTCTTATGCATCTGCTTCTCCAACTCAGTGAGTTTTAAAAAGCTGCCCTTTCAGGCTGAGAACAGAACAAACTTATAGGAAAAGAATTGGGTCTGTGGACTCACATGCTCACTGGAGCTTCAGTCCCCTGGAGCTGGCGTTTGAGCCACACCGAGAGGCAGGATTATGTCAGTGATGCCCCTCGGTTGTGTTGGGATAGTGACGAAGTCAGAATCACGTCCTTTCCACAGTATGCTCTGAGTTCTGGCTTCCGTGGCCATTGGGAAGGGAATTTCATAGCTTTCCGTAGAACGCCACGTGCCATTTCAGGTGTACTTGCTCAGAGACATGTATGAGTTCCTTTGCTTTGGATGCATCTTCAGGTATGAAGCCCTTGCAGAGCTCATGGTTCTTATCTCCCTTGCTGCAGACGTAAATTCAGGGTGATGGCTTCCTGCTGGGACACGCTGTACCATGGCCTCTGACTTTTCTCAGAGATGGACATCCCGTGTCTCCTGCACATCTCTGCTTGTGAATGTAAAGACAGGAATAATATTCCCAGATTTGTCAGAAACAAAGCTGTGCTCAAGTGAGACTGACAGTAAATAAATGAGAAAGGCAGGTTATAATTCTGGACTTTTATGCCTGCAACATGCATTCTCCTTGAAGCTTGAACCAGCCTGCACATCACCATGAGGCTTGTACTGTGTGGCTGCATTTACATGGTATTTGCCTTTCCCTCCCTTTTTCAGAGGCTTCTCTAGGCCTGAGCTGCCCAGGGCACTGTGGGCTGAGCCAGGCCAGGCATCTGACTCCAGGGGCTGCAGGACCCAGGATGTAGTGGGAGAGCTTGCTGCTGACAGGCCTCCCTCCACCCACCTCTTCCAGCCCAGTGTCTGCACACAGAACCCCCATTCTCCATACACAGCTTCATTCTTCTCTTCCAACAGCAGGCTGTTCTGCTTCTTGACTTACAGGCCTCATGTCCAGGTTCTTTCAGTCTCTTAACAAAGTCTCAGAGCTTCTCACTGAGTCAGATGTCATCCTTAGTGGCAAAGACATGATCACTTAGAACAAACAGGACTGCCTTGGCCATTCTGTTTGGGAAAAGTAGTTCTCAGAGATGAGGATTGTAGTAAGCTTGGCAGACATCCCAAAATATCTACTGAAAATTGTGGACACTGGGCTGGTAGGGGAGTGTTTTTCCTTCCTTCCTTCAGCAAATACTTATTTATTTGTTTATTCATTCGCTTGCTTACTTACTTTTGGA